CAAATTAAGTAAAACTACTGTTATATGGTATTGTGACATAGCCCTTTTTTGCATGGATTAGTAGATTGCTGCTGCGGTTACCTTTTGAGATTCGTTATTATACCCGAAACTCAATTCTTGTCTTTTGTGACTCATTTCACCTTGTGCAGCAAATTTAAATATACTATGTTGGATCACTTAATTATTGATCACCCTTTTAAACACTCAGTCCCAATATTCTTTGTTATGATTGGATCCTCAATATCATTGTTGTCAACCGTGAAATCAAACCGAAATATATTAGTAACCACATCAAATAGTCTTCGATAGATCGTCCTTTCCACGGAACGGTTGATACGCTAACACACCCTTATTCACGGGGTGGAATTTCGGAGTAATTGCAACAAGAATTGTGTTATTGGCCAATTTGCATATAAACTTAGTTTTGTGCAGTGGGATCCTGCGATAAATGAGTTTGGAACAGAGCGCGATTTTCCTTCTGATAACATTCTAAACGGGTAACTTCCGCCTGATGAAGAAAGACAATTCTCGGTGATCAGGGAACACTGCCATTTCGATTTATTGTCCGGTTCACTCCAGTTGCAGAGGTGACCATTCAGATGCGAATTTCTAAACATCAGTGTTGTTTGTAAAAACGTAGTCGATTCGATTGAAATTGGGAAAATTTTTAGAGTGTGCTTATTTCCGGAGGTGCCGCATTTCCGTCGACATTTTTCAGATAAATGATACGAAGTTTGGAAAGTATCCTGGATCTGATGCGTTTCAAATTTGCGACTAGTGTTATGTCACAAATTCAGTATTTCATACGATAGATTTGTCACAAATCACTGTCTTGAACATTATAAAGCGAAGTAACCATCTTTTTGAGTTCTAATCAAGCAACAAGTTTTGAGGTTGCATTCACCGGTACCTTGGGATCCGGTCGTTTTAGAACAGCCATTATGGAATGCGTACCCTCTGATGCTGATTCAGTAGCTCTTCTCTGTTTAAGGGTTTCCCTTGTTATCTACGGTAAATGTTTTGGATGCTTGTGACATCGAGTATCGAGTTCATCGAACATCAATCAAGGAAGTGAAGCCAATCAAGTTAATCCCTTCAGCTCACTGCAATTGCAAAAATGCTTTTTCCTTTCTGTTTGAAGAAACCAAGATTTGCATTTTGAACTTACCTCATCAACCGAAAGTTTTGCTCAGAGCTTATCAACCACAAACCACTACACGAAAATTTCATATCCATCCCACAGGTCTTAGTCGAGGAACCAAATACGAGCTAACCGTGTCCGCAGCCACTCGGGGTGGAAACGGTCCGGATTCCGCTCTCGTTGCATTCACGACCATGAATGAAGAAAATGTCGCAGATCGGGACGCCGCACAAACCGATAAAGGTTACTTTTTACGCGGGGTACGTGATTCAACAGCCTTTAAAACGGAACAACTATTTGTTGTGGTTTTCTAATTCACCTTCAGTAATAATGTAAATGTTCAAAATAAGGCTTGTTAGACGAATCTCGTCAGTTGCGTAGTGAATTGTCGCAAGAAACACTGTTTCACGACTCAACTAATTGTCGATCACTGATTGGAATCAATTCATCCGGCGTGCTAAATCCTAAAATTTATTTACTGCGTTATCCTGCCGAGGAAATGTGCTTGGTTGTATGTATTCTACCACCGCGTCTGCTTAAGTTGTAAGTCCGGAGGACCTTTGTTTTTGCTAGCCTTCAATACCAATGTTCCTCGATGAATTATGTTTAGTAATGCAGGATACAAAACTTGGTCTGCATCTCTGCAGTCAGTGAGATTCGCATGATATAATGGCATTATTCAGGTGCTGATTTATAATGGACTCTTACCACTTGACTCGCCATTAACTAACGCGGATAATGTGATCCAGGCAGTCAAATAATACCGTGGTTGCGTTCGAATTTGGACTGGAACCGTGATGGATTTTCCGTTCTATCTGTGGACAAGCCCCAAGTTCGATCCTGTGTTGGATCAATAGCTTCATAATGCCGATGAGACCGTTCCAACCAGATCCCAACTTATTAGTTCACTCCTCGTTCGCTTGGTGCACAAAAAATCACTACGTACTGGAATAGACTACATCAGACTGCCACCTGACCACCATTTACGCGAATCAATTAGAGATTATTTGGTGAGGCTTAACACCGGAGGAGCAGAAAGCAAATAAACCATTTCAAATTGAACTAAAAAATAACGGTCAATTTTCAAGCGTGATAGAGGAAACAAAATACTGAACTGTTGACATCTGTAAAATTTATCTCTTTGTAGGATGAAGACCTCAGTTCGTATAGCACCACCCACTCCAAGACGCCACTTACCGATGTGAAAAGTTCATCTCAGCTGAGAGCGGTAAGTTTTTCCATACACTGATTTTCCATTCAAACTGACCCGATGCTATTCCTCGTAGAAGAGGTGTGAAACGCATTCATCCGTCTGTATTTTACAATCTGAACAAATAATGCAGGGATAATATGGTGTTTTTAAAACGTGTAATCCTGATATTCACGACCTACGTTTATTCACAGTCATCATCGACTTATGATTCTGTGGGAGTAGTTAGGAAGTGTGGAGTAAATACTCCGACTTGGTTTAATCGAATTAACTTCCTACGATCCCATTTAGGTGGGTAATTTCGTCTATCATCGGTAGTGATTTGCAACTGCACAAAGAGGTCACAATAAAAGCCTGAGATCCGTAATCTAAATTAGAACATGTTTCATCCAACTATCCTCCGCAATCGGTAATCCACGACATCATACCGTAAGCAGATAGCGATACTTGACATTTCACACAAATCTGTATCATGCCCAGGTCGGCATAATTATTTCCTCGTGAACTAAGAAGCAACTTATTGTTGAAAGACCAATATGGCATTCTTCGGCGAATCAGATGCCTTGCTGCATGTATGCCGTGTCCCATTATCCGATCTGAGCCAAAGTTTTACTTTTACCAGGCACTGAGTTTCTTAGGATTTGAGATATACGAGATCCTTGTCAAATGTTTCTTGATGGCCACGATGGACATCTATACTGAAACCATGATACTATTTTTAATTGCATGGCTGCTTGCAGCATAGTTCACCCAAAACGCTTGCTCCGTTAATTAGCTACTTTCTATAGATCCTCAGTATGGTCCGGGATGGGTGTCTAGGGTTGCGGTTGGTCACCTTTCCCTTGCACCTCACGAAATATTCCCATACGACCAAGTGTCTCCAATAGCCTCTGCTGGGGAAGTCCTACTCGGTGTCTTTTCACGGTGGAGGTGTTTTCTCACCAAAGTGAGAGGATGAAAATCCGACATCCGGGGCTATAATCGGGTTCGTGGACCACCGGTAGTTAAACGAGGGCAGTTGACCAAAACTCTGATTCCAAAACAACCAAGACGAGGCGTACAAACCCCACCTCTCCAGTTGTGGCAGTGTTCACCGGCTCAATGGAGCATCGAAGTGTATCGGGCACCTTGGACGTTTGACCTCGCCCAAAAGGCGTTTGATCCAATGAACTAGACACGGGCTCCTAATGGACTGTAGTTTTCACACATCGCCCCGCTGCCTTGCGTGTCAGGCATTTGTTAAACGAAGGCTTCGACTGTGGATTCCCCAATAAAATTCACTTGCCTCGGCATGGGCAACCTGATAGTAAATCGCGGAACTTTTTCTTCTTATTAAGATTATTGTACCATAGTTTATTTGCCACAAAGTCTGACCTCAGACGACTGTGAAATATAATAATAATGATAATAATAATAATAATAATAATAATAATAGTAATATAGATTGAAAAAGACAAGAAATCAGCGCCACGACTAACTGAATCTGAGAAGGATGAAGTGACAAGTCATAAAATGGTTGGGTATTTTACTTGATAGGGTTGTGAGTTGCTGCATTGCGAAATCGTCCAAACCATGGTAGTAAATCGATTGAAGGAACCTCAGTCTGAGTCTTCAATCATCTAAGTCCAATGAGAGTTCGGCGGTGCTTCCAATCTGTTACCAGTTGGAGGCCAGTTTCTAATGGGTTAGATCATAAGTTAGTAGAAGACTCCCATAATAATATAAAAAGGCAAACAACATAGCGAACAAGCTTGTCTTCGTAACTTTGTCTTTCGGCATTTGCGGTCAGAGGATATAAAGCGAACCGGCTAAGCACACGACAAAATAATAACCAGTACGACTGTGGCTCACCTCGCTGATATCAGGCGCCAGACAAACGACGATGATTTCAAAGTCATCTACAACCAACAACAAGTGGAAGTGTATTGGGTAATGCCACTTGGTAACGGCAGAATCGAAATTCCGAGCACACCACTGTGAAACCAGAAAATGGTAGCCGCACTCCAGTTGCAATGCCCCCACCCAACCTACTTTACGAAGCGAACCATAATCTAAATCACGTCGTGATGACACAACATGTTGCGACCCGTAGCATGTGTAAAAGGTCATCTGAATTTTCCAGAACTAAACTTGGTCCACATCACTCTCTCCATGTTTTCCTACAGAACTTAACAGATATCGTTATTCTTTCACATTTAACCAACAGCATCCATTTCTATCTTACGTATAAACAAAACTGCGAATACCCGAAGATATAGATCACAAATTCTTTGGGCGGAGCTCATCTCCCCAGGATTCGCAGTACTTTTACTTGCTCAAATGAGTCAGCTTTCTTATATTCGGGATTCTAAACCCAGCTTACAAATTCCTCGGGAAAACGTCTTCACTGGTGATGCATTGCCCTGGCTATACCCCTGGAAACTTGCTTCTTACCCGGGTACTTGTGAAATTAAACTTTTATTCAAAGCACGAATTAGTACTTGTCCAGCAAAGGCTTCGGCTATAAATAGGGTGCGCGATCGGGATAAGAAAGTTGACCCCTGACTTCTGCGCCCAAAAGCGTTTGGTTCAATCACTCCAACTTCCATGGCACGTGATCGATCAGGTCCGAGTGTGTCCGCCGTCCAGTCATCCTGATGCCGTAACTTAGTTAAACCAATCAAATTACAAATGCCAGCTGACTATGACAAACTCTTACCCATGATAGGGGACGTGTCTAACTGTGTGATCTGTTTTCTAATGTTTTCTATGTAATCTGTAAACGGCTTGCGAAGGAATTACTGAAAAACAATTGTTTCGCCAAACTGTGTTTGTTCTAAATGCTGTGATGGGAATCTTTCATACACTGAAACAATCAGCGGATCTACAAAAGCAGTCACTCCTCGTCTAATACTCTCTGAGGACTGTTCGACAGCTTTGGTAATGATAGAGTAATCTAGAGTGATCTCATTATTACTATTGTGGATTTAGAATTTCCCCTCTCTTTTTCCATCTAATCAACAGTTGAATATAGCCAATTGATTTCAGTAAAACGGTTTTTCAATCATTTGATTTGTAAACTGACATTTTATGAAAATATCAGTATCTCCATTTTACATATAAGATTTAGCAGAGAATCGATGTTAATTTTACAACTCAGTCGTAGTCAGTGTGTTGCTGTTACGTTTTCTGCGATTCCGTTGTCTTATAAAACTGATTTGACCACGCATACCGCTTCAGGTAGAAAACCTGCGTACCATTGAAGATGAGCGTAGCATTCTGATTCTCTGGTCACCGTCAGCCACCGGAAGACAAAAGGATGGACAAGCGTCGCCCGAATTGGATCGATACATGATCAAATGGGGAAAACTTTATCCAGGCCCACAATCGGCTACGGTGGGAGCTAATCAAACACGTTTTTTGATTGATAATTTAGGTGAGTGTGTGCACTCTGAACTATTTTTGGTCATTGCGTGTAGAAATCAGAAACTGAATATCTCATTAGAATGAGCATTTATGAAAAGGTAATTACACGATTCTACCTTATTTTCAGAGGCAAATACCCCGTATATGATAGAAGTATCTGTATACAATAAGAATCAGGAAGCAGCTTCTGCAATGATCACCGGACGTACCAAACCTGCCCTTTGTGAGTCTCTCTCTCTTGCAGTCTTTTCTTCCATCATTCATAAACTTCATGTTAATTACCCGTACGCATTGTGTTCTGTATAGCTCAAACAATTCAAGAGCAGTCCATTAGGAATCCACTATGTAGTTACTTATGTCACTAAATTTATTGATAGCTTTCCGAATGTCAACCTATGCTCGTTAAGTTTTTTTCTTTGAGCTGTTTTCTAATAGAACCACAATATATAACCTTTGCTTTGTTGGATTCTTGTCACTAAAATATGAACTGAAACGACCACTGATAAATACACAATTTACATACACAATACATAATTTAATTTCCTGGAACTTGATGGTAAACCATGATCAGCTGAATAAGACTTGCTGTCATTTGGTCTCTAAAATGTAATAACTAACCGTATCACGAACACCGCCTATGTTGACCTCAGTATAATTGGTCCATAGGCGAGTACCTAATCAAAAGGGCGCTGACCCTGAAGGGATACAAGTTTATGAAATCATGTTTCTTCTTGTTTTCATTATCCCACAAATTCCCCGCCCAATTTCATCTCGTATAAACGTTTACTGAAATTCACCAATATCTTATTGTGCACGTTTACTCAGAAGCATTGCGAAGGTAGCAAATGAATTGCCTTAAACTTGTACTAATAAATGTACTTATATCTCTAAACATTTCCTGAAATGTAAGCTTCAGTGCTTCAAAACATCGTACGCAATAAACACTGCATTACAGTAAAATGCAAACGTATACATCCCTTCAGGCCGTAGTTATTGTGTTCCTATTGAACTGCGGAGTACGCATGGCGACCTATACGAGTTAATTGTACTGACCCCGATCGTACGAACAGTAGTGATTCTGACAGCCGATTTATCACAGCAATTACTCAGCTCATTGGCTGTTATTCACTGAACATTAGATACCTGGTACCGAACATCACTGATGTTAATTAGTGAGGCATAATATTGGAATCCGGGAGAAATATTCTATCTTGTGAATAGAAAATTTAGCCCCCGACAAATAACTTGCATGCATGGTTCGGTGTTGCGATGACGATGGGTGTTCGAAAAGCCAAATTCAATCCCGATTAGTATCAAAACTGTTTTATTTGTATCAATTCATCGTTTAGTCATATTTCAGTACCTACACGCGGAAACAGACTTTTATACTACCTTTCGTGTGTCGCACGCCCCAGCCAGGAGGGAGTGCGCTTCCAGACATGTGTAACAAGTAGATTCGGACATGCTCGAAAGACAAATAAACAGCTCACTTTAACAGGCTGTTTTCGGACAAATGTTTAATGTCTTTGGGCTTTTCCTTTTTAATTCAGTTCGGCATCGGCTACTCATCCCGCTCAATCTTCAAGTTACTTCGGTCGACCCTGACGGGGCAGTGGTTATGTGGGATGAACCGATTTGTTCCGCCCAGTCGGCCGAGACGAGCAATTCCGCCGATTGCCTGAGCAAGGAGTTGATTCAATATTACCAAGTGGCGTATCGAATGATTGGGTTTAAAGAGGAAAAGTCAGTGACACTGGATGAAAACGAGGAGAGTGAAGAAGATGAGATGAGCGAAGGTAATACACATGTGACAATCTCTTGTTCGGGCTTCACGTTGCCAGATTAAAGGCTTCTTTTTTACCTAAATGTATTTAACTACTCAAAAGTAGCATTAATCGACTTGACCAAAATGACGGACGTTCTCAAACCACCCTTTTCGGTTTTTCAAACGACTATCAATAAATGCAATGTAGAAGAGGTATATTCAATATAAAATATATACTATAAGGATTCAAAGCTTTTGGAAAAGAATTTTTTCACACTCTTGCTCGCACCGTACTCGTGTGTCATTAGTTCTATCAAAGTTAACGTGATTTCAATGCTGTCCAAGTAAGTCCACTCCGACTGTTATTAAGTTTCATGTAAGATCGGTATGTTTTTAATTGTAGCTTCACTTTCGGATACGGCACTCGATCTGAAGACGCATCTGCTCAACATTTCACNGCTCCTCCGTCATGGTTCGTGCTGTCGGTAAAGCTCCAGCCACGAAACAAGCTGAAGCTTTGACCAGTGAATGGAGCATGGAACAAGTGTTTGAAACGCCTGAACAGAGTAAGCCATTGTCCTAGAGTCTAGGGTCGATCAAAAGAATAAGATTGATTGCTGATAAAAATCCTTCGTACTACTGTGATATCGCTGGCATTATTTTCGGCAGTTCATCGTCTTTATCATCCACTCAGATAAGACTTTCACACTTTTTCGGTGATTCTTGTCTTTATTTAGTTTACATCAGTTCACGTATATCGTACCTTAACAACTTATTGCATGAACCTATTTGAGAGCCCGGATGTGATTTAGTCCAATATATCCTTGAGTCAGGCAGTTTGGGGGGGGGGCCATTTTGTTGTTTTCGAGAGCTGAAAAAGGCAAAAATGCTAATGAATTTGTGTTTGTGTTTCAAAATGGGAAAAATTGCTGAAGAGCTAAATTGCTCTTCTTGATTTGTTTATGACACGTAAATGAATACTTGAAAAATTAAATCGACTCTGGTTTCGTTCAGCATAATTATGTTCAAAACATCCTTTGATACACCGTCGTACCCATCCATTTTCCTCCTCCATATTTCTGTGTCCCGGTTAAGTAATCAAATAAGCACGCAGTGAATTATCCAGTAGTAGGCACACATGTTGCCGGTCCGTAGGCGATGAACAACCAGGAGCGCGAAACATGTCAGCAAGTAGGCAGGCAGGCCGACATCCGAATGCCGTCTGGAAGGCATTCGAGCAGTTAGCGAATCATTCAGCGTGGATAGTTCAATTGGGACTGGTCGATATTGTAATACAGTTAGTCTGTATGAGGTGAGTTCCTGTGTGGCAGCAGACAGCATCTGTCAATCAACAGATCAATCAATCAGTCAACGAAGTAAATCATAGTCATATATGAAACACGTTGCAGTCAACTGTAGGCCACAACCCCTGTCCGATAAAGTTTCTATCACGTTTTTTTCGAACCTGATCACGCTAACGAAATGAGAAATCGATCTGACAAAGGGGGATTTCATAGGGACCTCTGTTAATAAAGTGATCTTGGATGCAACGAAAATTTTATTTTTCCAAAATAAATAAAAATTGTTAAATAGACCCTCGCTTCAATTTCGGGCATAAACTATGTACGCTTTATTCTGGCTGACTTTTCAGAACCCGGTGATGCTCCTCATGACGTTTCCCTAACTGCACTACCGTTCCCACCTGGTGATGGTCCGGTCAGTGTTCAAGTGTCTTGGCAACCACCACTCAGACCTCATGGACGATTGGTTGGTTACGTGCTCTATTACACAGCAGATCGACAATTGCCTTTATCACAATGGTCCAAACGTCGCCTACCCGCAGATAGTTTGAATACTGTCCTATCCGGTCTATCACGTGGCCTGATTTATTTCGTACAACTTAGTGCACGAAATGAACACGGAAATGGACCATTGTCTCCTATCCGATTATATAGAACACCAGATGGTGAGTAGTATCAATAAACCGGTGGCAGTGAAACCGCTTCATAATGTATCGCACCTGGTGGTAACTTAAAGTTAATGTTCTGAACCACATACTTATCGAGGCCGTTTACCACATTTATACTCATGTTATCCGAAACAAATATGGCCACTTGTATTCTGATTTCTAGTTTATTTTACAAAACGGAAACCATCCTTTAAGAAAACAATTTAGTGTGACAAAACACATTAGAACTTCCGAAAAAAATAAGTATCAGATATCGCTTGCTCTTTTTCGAAATTGAGCTCGACATGAGAGAGCGATAAAGAGGTTAATGCATGATTATTTTGATGACGAAAATCGCTCGGTGCGAAGTATTTCAGCCAAAATGTTTGTGCATAGTTTGATAAGAAGAGATTATTTCGCGGTGGTGTGTACTGCATCAGTTGTCTATCACGATACGGTCTCCCCATCATTCCTTCTTTTCAATATTATCATCCTCGAGGAGACGGAGCAATAACCGTGAAATCATTGTGATTCACAGACTTTTGGCAACATGTGATTGAATCGCATGCTGCAGTGGGAAACCATTGTAAGGTGCTAACTTAAATGCTGGCAACCTGATTGCTCAATCACTTCGAGTTAGTGCCAGACAATCAGTGTAGTCGCATACACCCTTTTCCGAACAGTGTGCCGTGACAAGAAATGATATCAAGAATGCTATTTTTGTTGATTTACTGTCACGTCGTTCAATGTTTTCAACCAACCAGTACGGGGTTTTTCGGATCCCCATCCCGAAGGGTGAAGCATCTGCTCTGTCTGATCGTTCTGTGCACTTCCTACTGAAATACAACCGAGCTCCTCCAACCTGAAGCAGACGATTATCATGCGTGCACAGCAAATATCATAAACAGCTAAGCCTACCAATCTAAATTCGATGCGATACATTTTTCATCGATACAGTCCCGACCACACAACGGCTTACCCCGAGGTTACTAACATGGTCGCCCCAACCAACCTCCTTCCAACTATGTGAGCCTCTATTGTCCCATAACTGTAGTCGATGGATATCTTCTACTAGGTAATTCAAGGTCTCACAATCGTAAAGTAGCAGCGACCGAACGTTGGCAAAATTTAAGAGACTGTTAAACTTCGGTGAAACGACGCATTGACGTAAAAAGTGTTTCAGTCTTGCGCACACTGCTCGAGCCTTAGAAGTGCTTCTCTTCTTTACTGTGCTACCGTCATTGATCACATACCTGCCTAAGTAGGAGAAGCAGTCTGCTATAACTGATTCCTACCCATCAAGTTCCACAGCAGGACTTGGCGAAACCCAATCTTGCAGCTTCATTTTGCCCTTTGAAAGTGCAGTGCGTATACTCAAGGGCACAACAGGTTTTTAGTCTGCTTCCCTCGTCCTCGATACATTCGAACAGGAAGACGATATTGTGGGCGTATTGCAAATCGTACAATATTAATCAAGCAGCCCACTGAAAGCTAACATTTTGGGGACCGCATAGGAACTTTTCCAATATCTGGTATATGACGAAATTGAACAAGGATGGTAAAATAGGACATCTTGTACGAACACCCCTGCGGGTAACGAACAACTGACGCAAAATAAAACTTGCAATAATACACTCCCGTCTGATGAGAATTTGGACTGTTTCTCAAGGATATTGGGCTCTTCTAAACCTTTCCGACAGAGGCTGATACCTTGATGATGGAACGGATCAAGCTTATGTTGCGGCGATTTGTGTATTCGTTTTGAGATACATTCTTGAAAATACAAACGATCAGTGATTCGCCCTCAAATGATGTGATACGCTCCTACGACCAGAATTTGTGCTATATCAGACGAGGAATGTATTACAGTAACTTTGCTTATATCGGTGGATCACATGAAACTGTCCACGGAACTTCCGCTTCAATGGATGAGGCAATCCGGCTGGATCCAGGGCAGTTAAATGATTAGTGAAAATACTCGGCCCCGAAGTCCAGCCATTGTTCCCTATTGCGAATATCTGGTCCAGTTTTAACTTAGATTGTTTCACCAACCGAGATCCGCCAACCTCCGGATTATGTGCTCCACCCGTACACAGGCGATTTCCCAGGGATCTAATTACTATGGAAAATATTCAAATTATTCTGAAGGACTACCGGTCAGGAAAGCGAGTCCACTGGTATATTTACATTCCTTTCCTTATTTTCTTTACCTTCATAAATTCCTTTCGGTAGGTGATGGCCTACATACCATTGGATGCTTTGTAAACTATTATCTTTCCACCAGTTTAGAAGCTTTGTAACGGAAAGGAATTGCGTTCACAAGAGCGCATCCACTGGTTGAAAAAGGGATAACCGGAGTTGCGTCTAGAATAATCAACCTTTCTGCAAATACTCCGCTGTGGGCAGTTATACCATCCACTTTCGTATTTAGTTCCAATAGTCTATTTGATCTCTTCTCATGCCACTCACTCCCGAAAGTTGTTTCAAAATTGACCATTCTTTCTTTGATTCACTTGTAGTCTGAGTGTGTTGCAAGTGTGTGTGGTGATCCAGACTTACGTGACCGCAATCCAGGCACGATCAGGTACAGCTTCATGTCATCCAATCACCGTTCATGAAGCTGGGCTAATGGTACACCGGGCGAACATTACATCCGAGTTAGTACATGTGATGCGTCTGCGCAAACGGTTACGTGATTGGACGCCGGTCCTTCAACCAATGATATGGCTTATTACCTTCTATAAAACATACTCTGTTCCTGTCAATAAACATAAGCATTTGCTGCTATCATGTGTATTTCATTGGTATCCGCAGTTCAAGTTGGAACTAATCCAGTTCTGAGCATTACAGTACGGGTTCTCGTTTTCTGATATTCAATGCTATTCTGATTATCATAGTGTGTCAGTAAGACCTTTGTGTTTGGTTGTACAGTCAAAATGTTTTTTCTTGTTTCATGATAGAACTTTCTTTCATGCTCATAAGCAGTTAAAATGCCGAAAAAATCCGGTATCTTCGACATTCATTTCCCGAAAGTTATTATGATTGCGCTGTTTGTTTGCTGTATTGTTTTGCGTTGCTAACCCTTCTTCATTGAAGTTTAAAGTTGATCTGTTCTGCTTCCGGTGGTATACCATTGCCTTTTACGGAACGGAGGTAGAACCCTATACTAGTATTTTTCAGCTGTGACACATTTCACGTTGCACAAGTTACATCGACAGCGTTGACTTTATATCTGTCATCATACCAAACCTGATCCACTTGCTCTATGAGCCTTAATTCTATCACAGGAACTCAATTATCTGCTAAAGTATCCTTTTAGGATGTACTTTCAACAGGGTTAAGCTCATTGAGAGTCCTATGGACCTGTAAATTTTCTGATTATTGAGTTCCACCTCTTTGTTAGCAATTTTGGAATGCACATGTGCGTATTCGTTGGCACTAAATTAATCACCACAGTGTGATTACGTTCGCTACGTTTGGTGGTTTTCAGCATTTGGTCAAGGTGGTGGACGCATACCACTGGGTCGAATTTACCACAACGCCACGTCTATTCCATCGGAATTTCTCACTTTCGGACAATCCGTATTTGATCACTCTAGTATGACCCCAATCAAAAGTGGGAACGCACAGTCCGAAGAGAATGTTGGAGGCACGCGTGCAAATAACACACCCATGATGGCTGTTGGGAGTGTCGTTGGGTTGGGGCTGATTTCGTTAGCCACAATATTGATCGTGTTCTGGTGGCGCAGACAAAGGCGTCCCTTTGTACCGGTATTAGGGTAAGTTTTTTCTAAGTGAGAGAGCCCTGGCTTTCAAACTGACACGCTTGTATTTCAACTGAACTGACTAGGAAAGATTCTGTGGCTTGT